TTTTTTTTAGACCTATGCTGTAATAATTTTCTCGGAAAAGGCCAAATTGCGCCATTGCCAAGATGTGGAAAAGATAATACAAGAATTTAAAGTACTCACAACGCTCGAGGTCGTCAGGTATGTATGTACAATATAAATGCAGCATAAGCCACCTAACCTCTGCTAGCCAATTTTTGCATTTTTCCTATTTAGAAAACCAAATGTTTTTCAAATTAACAGCATATATTGCAAAAAATACTTAAAATTACTCCCTTCGAAGGTTTGCTCTGATCTTTATGGGGAATTAGATTCCTCAACGGAACTTGGGTGGCTAAGTAATTTGAATTTTAATTTCGTTGTTTAGTTTTGCTTATAAAATGTTTAACGCCATTTAGTTTTTGTTAACAATGCGCGCAAATTATTAATAACAATTTGTGTAATTTCGAAATGTACTATTAATTTATTGTAATGTATTACTCTTTCAGCAAAACTGAAAAATACCTCTATTTGTCAGCCACCACAGAAACTTTGCTGCGTTTTGCTGATGAGGCCGAGTTAAGTAAGCTTACCATAACTGGCAGTATGCAAAAATTCAATTGTGATTGTATATCCGATTATCTGCTACCTGGTATGACGCCAGCAGATATTGTACGCGAATGTGAGGGCCCCGTACTCATAAAGGACGTCGTTAAACCGGCAATTATGTCGTACATAAGAAATGGCATGGTCGAGGATTTTTTTCCATTGCACAACATTGTAAGATCGAGAAAAATTGTTCCATGGTTGGGCTTAATATATGTTTTTCCGTAGGAGTATTTAGATAGATTCGCATTTGATTGGCGACGTCGTAACTTTCCGATCGAAGACATATGCAACTACTTTGGTTCGAGCATTGGACTATATTTCGGCTTTACCGAGTTCTACACAAAGGCGCTTATATTTCCAGCTATTTTCGGTATGCTGCAGTTTGTGTGGAATGTGAATTTGTCATTGGTTTGCAGTTTTTATGTGCTATGGACAACGGTAGTTTATTCTTTTTTATATTTTTATTTTTTCACATTAGAAACTTTATAAATTGACCTGCCTAGTGCTATTATTTTATTTATATATCTAGTATTTTCTTGGCTGCGCTACAGTTTATAAAGTTTGGAGTGTGCTTTAGTTTTTAATATAACCTAAAATTACTAATATGAAAAATTTTATATTTATAAAGATTTTCCTTGAATTGTGGAAGCGCAAGTGCTCTGGCTACTCTTATCGTTGGGGTAATATTGAGATGAGTAGTTTGGACAAGCCGCGCTCTGCTTATCATGGTGTGCTAAAGTCGGATCCAATAACGGGTAAAATGATGCTGCAATATCCAATGCGCTATACCTATCTGCAAATGTATTGCGTTTCCTATCCTGTGGTGCTAATATGCGTAGCTGCTGCTGCTTACTTTGCCTTGTATCAGTTTCAGATAGAGGCAGAAGTGTTGGCTGATTTTGGTGAGTCTGTGTTGTTGAATGTGCTTGAGGAGACATTTTTTCCTATCTTTATTATTATTATTTATTTACTACCATTTCCTATTGCAACTTTTTTAACCGAAAATACTTATTTCTAGGTCCTGACTCCTGGCTACTTTATATTCCTGTGATTGTACAATCAATACTGATTGCTATTTTCTCTTGGGCCTACGAGAAATTAGCCACATTTTTGACTGACCAAGAGAATCATCGTACACGTTCGCAATACGATCGTCATCGCGTAAATAAGTTAATGCTTTTTGAAATCGTCAATAATTTCTTTTCATTGTTCTATATTGCATTTGTGCTGCATGATTTGAAGCAATTAAAATATCAATTAATGATGCAGTTGCTTATCTTTCAGGTATGCCAGACTTATTTGCATTTCTACGAGCTCAAAATATGCTTTGAAACTCATGTTCTCATTTCTACTATAGATTGTTTGCATTGCTCAAGAAATCGGCATCCCCCTCTTAGCCGTGGTGCGTCAGAAATTCGTAAAATATATGCATAAAGAAGTAGATGAGGAAATAAAGAATAATGTAACGGACTTGGCACGCTATGAACAATGTTTCTATGAAGCCGGACTTGATCAATATCAATCGACTTATGAAGACTATCTGCAGCTGTGCATACAATTTGGTTATGTAGTTTTGTTTGCTGCTGTAGCGCCTTTTGCAGCTTTCGGCGCCTTAATCAATAACATCTTTGCGATGCATATCGATTTGTTTAAGGTTGGTGTATTCATATTGAACATGTTACGTCGGTTATGTGAATCATCTCAATTATAGCTATGCAATATATTCAAGCGTCCATTTGGACGGCGAGCTAAAAACATTAGCGCTTGGCAATCGGCTTTTGAATTACTTTCGGTGATGGCAATACTGAGCAATTGCGGTCTGCTTTATTTACAGCCAAACGTGAAGTGAGTAGAAACATTTTCTATTTGAACGGAATATTAAAAATTGTTAATAAACCAGTTAAATTTAAAATTTATACTTCTACAACTCATTTTATCTCTTATTTCAGGGGCTTTTTCTCAAAACTATTTCCCCAAATGCCAGATATAACCTTTATACTTTTTGAACACTTGCTTTTGGGCTTGAAATTTGTTATACACAAAGTGATACACGAACGACCACGTTGGGTGCGTATAGCTTTGCTAAAGGCAGACTACGAATCGGACCAGGCTTACAAAAAACTGAAGTAAGTGTGGGATATGATATACTTAAAAAGCATTATTAAAAAAGAAATTTTGGTGCTTTTTTTATAGAAAATTTAAGGCATTTAACAAAATGGACTAGGTAAAATGAACAGGAAATGAAGGAAATCCCTTAGCAAAACCAAATTACTGTAAACGATAGCTTTTTAGTTTATGTTAATTTGTTGCTAATGTAGCTATTGTTGCTGTTTCCAAATTGCTGTGCTCTGGCAAATTACGGCCTTGCCTATAGTTTTTCGGCACAATAATAGCAGCACAACAATAACATTCATATTTATTCTGGTGATTTTTTATTTAAATAATTTAGTTTACGCATTTACTTTATATGTGTTTATTTGAAGACTAAAAATGTATTTTATAAATATTTTTTTATGTATTATGTTACATTAATCGCCATATATTTACTTAATTTTTAGTTTTTTTTTATGTATATTTATATTACATTAATTTCTATAAGATACAAACGAAAAATTAATAGTTTCTCGTAAGTGCCTCAAATGTGCTACAGACAAATGCAATTACTTGAATTTAATACACAAATATAAATGCATACACACAAAAAAGATTAATAATAAAATTGTTACTTATTTGTCATATGAAACTTTTGAGCTAACGACTTCCTCTGTAATATCTAAAAGATAAAAATGCATCAATGGCATGTAAAATACCGGCGGCATAGCCAATATACTGTAAAAGAGCAACAAAAAAAAAATAAGGCGGTTAATACGTTAGTAGGTTTGTAAGTGGTTTTATAAAAATGTGTAAATATCAACGAATTTTTGAGAAAATAACCAAAGCTGATTAACCACAAATTAAAAAAAGTATTTTACGTTATTTGACATTCATAACACTAGAAATAGAGCCAAAAATTGCAAAAGCTAACAAGTTATTTTGTCAAAAGTTCCTCCTATAAAATCTCTTTGTTTGTACTGTTGTTGTTGTACTCACATATGCCGCTGTCATTGCTGGGTAGGCCCAAAAACCCGGTCGCACAAGAAATTGCGGATGCAACCACACAACACAAGCAAAGCCCATGTAGCTGGAAGAGCTGAAGTACATGCTACAGGCAACCGCATTGAAAAGTGTTTCCTGCATAGAAAAATTATATGTACATAGTATGTAAAACAAAATAACTTAAAAAAAACCATCAACAAGCAAAGAAGTGCCTACAAAGAGTGATTGTCTAATTAGACTTGAAGATTTCTCCGAGAAGCAATAGCATATCATTAGTATGGCTGTAGTGGTGAAGCAATAAGCGGTCGTTGTAAGCATGCTGGTCAGAGCCTGTCCAATTGTATCTGCTGCTGGTATTCCATAGCGCACCAATAGCCCTTCGCACAAAGTGGCCAGGGTTAGTTGTAGGATTTTTGTAAGTCCCACACGTGAAGTGACAAAACCAAAATTTACACAGGTACACACGCGACAGCAGCAAAGTTTAATGCCGAAACTTTGACCAATGCCACGCATACCAAAGGAATAAGACATGGCGAAGGAAATTGAGGTTTGTTATTTTTCTATACCACTCTAACTATGTATATACGTGGTTTATTTATTCCTTGAATTCTTTTATTAGTTTTGATTCTAAGTTATTTGTTTATTTCATTTTCCTTTTACAATTTGAACGCAAAATTACTGTCGCTTTGTACGATCACTTCCATTGACTGCATGTTGACTACACTAGCAATGCATAGCCTAGATGCATTGTCGCACAGGATATGCTAAAAATAGTTTCGTTTCGTTTGTGATCCCCCCCAAGTAGACAGCAGCAGCTGTGACCTAAACATATCGTTTTCTTCTACTGCTGCATCTTTGGTTTGGTTCGCTTTGTTTACAAATTTTATATGCACAAAAATAAATTCGGTTGAGGCGTTAGCACGCGAATGCAATTGCGTGCACGTGTGCGACACACACATACATTTTTTTTCGAAATTCAGCTCTGTACACAAGTCGGTAGATTACTCATTAAAGACTTAATCGAATTTAAAACCAAATACTACATAAAAAAATTTGTTTCTATGTTTACTAATCACAGGCCTGCGAAATTTTAATTTTGTTTGCCCCCTCCAACAATTATGCTATTTTTTTGAATATCTACATACATAGGTATGTTAAATTAAAATATGTGCATCTTTGTTTTTTTTTTCTAGCATGTCGAGATTTTTTATTGGTGAAATGTACATATATTTTAGGATTTTTAGCAATTTGCAGAGAAATGCCAAAAATTAATTACTTTAGAATTGGATTTGTACTTAAAAACTTAAACTTAAGTAGTTTCGAAGATAACGCTAAGAAACTCGATAAAAGTTATTTTCTCAGCGTTAGCGAGCATTACTAGCGTCAACTTCTAAATTAGTTAAGTTTTAATTAAATTTTTTAGAAATATTTTGAGTATTCAGTTTCGTAGCCCATTCAATTTTAGCATAGTAAAATGCACGTTTAAAGTAGCTCGGACTTACGGTTGATTTCTGGCAATTTTTTTTGTTGCAGATTTTGCAAGTTTTCTCAGTACAAAAAAAAAAAACAAATTGTCCAAAATAGTACTTTGTATGGAAGAAAATGACTGACATCGTCAACAAATTGCCAAAAATCAGCGGTAGGTCGGAGCTACTTCTAACTTGCACTTTATTATACTAAAATTGAATGGGCTACAAAACTACATACTCAAACTATTTATAAAAAATCGAATTAAAAAGTTTGAAATTTTTACGAAAGTTTGTTATTTTTTTTTTTAATTTTGCATAAAGAGGGAAACATGGATTTATATGGTTTTTGTTGCAAACTATACTAGGTATGTATATTTTAATAAACATATAATTATAATTAAAAAATATTAAGATAAATGGTCTAACCTTGTCAACATATGGGTGTAGAGTTATGATAAGCACTATAGCTCTTAAAATTTATCTGCCCTTTAAACACAAATTTTGTTTTAAAAAATGTGTTTTGTGTGGCAGTTATAGCCAGCCAGTTTGACGAAACAAATTTAAGTGAAAAATGATTATTTGGTTTGAATTTAATATGGAAACTAACAGAAAAAAAAAAATTTCATTTAAATTGCTTCCTGGCTGGCAGCAATATTGCCACCACAAAGCAGCTGCACTGCCAAGTGCTAACTGCTGCACACGTGTAAATATCAGTAAATAGTTATTCATAACAAAACTAACGGTTTAAATGATTAATTTACTTGCTAAAATTGAGAAAATCCAGAATTTTCTAGTGCAATTAGCATAAAATCTACTTTTTATTAAGTTCGGGGTTTTCAGACGTTCATTTGTAGTTTATGGGGAATAAAAAAAAACAGGTATTAAACTTACATATGTGTCAGTTACCAAATGCGA